CTCCAGCACCCCCAAGTCAGGATTAAGCGGTGTATAGATAATGGATAAATGTTGCTTATTTAGGTATTTATACTGAATGTAGTATAAAAATATTGAACATTTTAAACCATGTTGCAGCTGCTTTTGCTTTGAATTGATAACAGGTTCTTTCACACTTGGTAATCTGTGCTGTACTTGAGTATGATTGGGTCAAAAGACATGTGTAAGACGTGTGTAAGAAGGAGACCAGTTGAAGCATTCTTGGGTGAAATGGAAGAACTAGCATTAGCAAAATCAGAACGTGTACCACTGCTGGAAAATACAACATGAAAAGTATTCCACTGCCACATTTTCTAAACATAAAAAAACACTCACATTATGCGCAGCTTTTACAAATGTCACACAGATGATGATGTACGTGCACTGGGGTTAAACATTATTGTGAACACTGGTCAACAGGGAGTTGGGAGGGGCGACAATTGCACTCAGACTCTTTTACTGATCAATCGTACCTAATCTGGGAATGGCCACTGTGTGTGGCTGCAGGGCATTGGAGGATGGACGTCAAATTCACCTCTGAAAGTGCTTTCCAACCTTCTAATGAACAAAACCAAACGAATCCTTTTAGAAAGAACATCAGGACTAAAATCAGTTTGAGCAGAGCTGAAAACAGTCTCAAGGTTCACTTAGAGAGAAAAGCCAGGGCAGCCCAACTGCCGAGCAACAAACAGCAAAATAATTTTATTGTTAATAGGCGACAGTTGACATCAGCAGCACTGGCTGGGGAGCTGGGGATTATTTGTTTGGACTAAAGCTACACTGGGTATTTTTGCTCTTGCCAGTAGGCCGACTGAGCTAATGGTGTTTTGCCATTTTTTGAATGGGCTGACTGGGTTGGTTGATTGGCAATCTGCCCTGCACTATGATAAATTTGCCCTGTGTAATGAATTTCTCAACCCTCATAGTTACCAGTTGAAAAACCACATAATTTTTTTTTTTTCATCATAAGCAGCAATAACAACTAAAAACTGTAGCTACCTCATTGAGTGAATAAAATTAATGCTGCTTACATGTAATTTAGATTACATTAGCAAGTTCTCTGGTGAGTCAGAAGGCATGTACAAAAACTGACTGGATACCCAGACTTTGAAAGGATTAATCATACTTGATGGAAGCTCAGCGTCAGCACAGCGATGCTTGTGGGTGACTTTATTGTTCATGCTCTGAATATTAAGTTGATTACTGTGTCAGTCTTGTTTTCCCGACACAGCCAGAGCACTTAGTTTGCCAGTCAAGTAACACCTTTATGAATTTGGTATTGATTTTATTTTACAGTCTGGGTTAGGAGGTGTCATTCTGTATAAAAGTCATATTTCAACTATCCTGGTTGTGCATATTGATCTTTTCAAGCCATGTCCCCACAAGCTGTGCAAACTACAGTACACAACAGAAGTGAGTACACCTCTGGAGAACGTCATGTAAATGTGGAATGATATGAAATAAAATTATCTCTCCACAGTTATATTATCTTTAAGTTGACCAGTACAATATTTCCTCTCATGAACAATCAAAACAAATACTTCAAAAAGACTATATTGAAAATACAGTAGAAACTTGTTTCATCACTGAAACAGTCCAGCTGTGATTTCCTATTAGTCTAACTGCAGGGACATTGTTATAAAAGCACCTGTGAATACCAGAATCCTCTCAGTTTTGGACCAATGGGCTGCATTGTGAGACTTTACAAAGATGAAAAATGGCACAGGACGAGTGGTGGCAACCTAAAAATTCATTGAAACACAGTTGCATCAGTAATCAGAAGGTATAGAATGAGCCAGTTGTACCATCCTTCTAAAATGATTCCATGGACGGTGTCCTAATTGCACCGTCTAACTATGAAAAACAGATGGGCAAGTGTGTCAGACTTGGACCAGGGCTTATCGATGGAAATCAGAGTTTCTGTGAGGGCTCAGAGGGTACAAAGGACAGTGCATCATGTCTGCCTTTATGGATGGCATTCCGGTAAAAATCTCTCGCTTGCACTACGGCACTGAACTGCAAGAATACACAGTGTGAAAACGCATGAAAAGAAGCCTGATGATTATTCAGAGCACATTCCTCGGTCAAATAAGACCAAAACAAATTTGTTGGGTTCAGTTGGTCCTTGCATGTTTGGCATTAACCTGACCAGGACTTCCATGGAGAACACATAGTCCCAGCAGTTAAGCACGGAAGTGGGAGTGTGATGATTTGAGGCTGCATGAGTGCAAAAGGTGTTGGGGAAATTACATTTGGAGATAGCACTATGAATGCCTGTGGATGTACCAAAATATTGACTGACAGGGTGACTCCCAGTCTCCAGAAGCTTAGGAGAAGAGAAATAATCCAGCATCACACCACACATCACACCCGAGTTTCAAAAGAAGAACAAAGTCAAAACTATGACTAGAATCCAATCGAACAACATTAGGGAAGAGAAATGTGAAGCAAAACAACCCCTCCACCAAAGACGAGCTGAATAATAGTCTCTCTCTGAATCTTAGTAATGTACCCACATTTGCTGCACACAGTTCCTACTGTGGGACCTGTATTTTTAAAATAACAAATTTAAATTGTACATTTTTTAATTTTCCATGAGAGCAACTGCTCTGCGATTAAACTTAGAAGTAATGCAGTTACTGTAAGGTGATGTAAATTTGAACACATTTAAAATGTAAGTGATACTGCACACAGGTGTACTCACTTCTGTTGTGTGCTAGGCATACAGTATGTTGCACAAGCATACATTTCTATGTTCATAAATAACATTAATTTAGTCTGCAGAACCAAATCAAAACACTATTGTATAATAACATTAAGTATAACAGGAAATGTGTATTTTAACATAATTGTATATTATATACGTGACATGGAATATAAGAGAGACACAACTGACATTAAGAATAGGATTTCAAAACACAGAGATTTAGCATCAATGATAAAACAAAACAATCACATTTCTTTTGAGCATTTCTTCTCCGATCTGTAATCCATGTCTGATGAGAAGAGTTCATCGTTCGGTCAGTTCCCTGAAGTCAAGCGTTTACACTTTAAGTATAACCAGGCCAGCATAACCACGCCGCCTGGTTTCAGCCTCCAGCATAAGTCTTCTACAGAGCTCCTCAGCCTCAGGGTCTGTTTAGGTCCCTGCTGGACTTTTTAAAGCTGCAGGATCTGCTTAGTGTCTCTGCCAGCAGCTCTGCTATCCAAGAACAACATAGGGATCACATTGGATAGTTAATCTTCTCTCCTCATCATCATTCTAAGCATTACACATGTTGGACTGGATCTGCTGCTTCACCTGTTTGTCATAAGCGGCCTTATTTAGCGCTGCCACCAGCGATAATGCACAAGAGAGAACGAAATGTCTTGAAGTCACACAATACTGGAAAGCATGGAGAAATCTGATTTCAATGAATGTTAAGCAGCTCTATTGTATTCTCCTAGACACCTCAAACATTCACACTGGTGTTGCGGAGCATGTGTTAGCTTGCAGGTAAAGACAGGCTCTGTATGTCAAAAGCCACCAGAGCAAGCGTATGATAGGATCAGCTCCTGGACGTTGCTCTCTCCACCATCCTCCTCTCACGATTGTGGCAAGGACAGAGGTAGCCTTTCAGGTGCATGCGCACCTTGCTGTGCAGTGAGGCGTAGATGAAGGGATTGTAACATGCAGAGCTCATTGCCACTAAATGACAGCAGACTTGTAAGACATTTATGTAGCGCTTTCCCATAATGTGGAAGTCTGGGTCCAGGTCCAGCAACAGGTTCAGCACCTACACAACGACATGGAAATAGTTGTAATTGCAATGAATCTGCTCTAAATCATAAACATTCACAAAGTGCAGTATTTTGAAAAGTCACACTCTGCTCCCCCTCGGCCTTTAACAACAAAAAACACACTATAGATCAAAGCAATAAATGTGGTAATTTAGTTTAGAAATGGGCTGCAAGGTGGATCGGTGGTTAGCACCGTTGCCTCACAGCAAGAAGGTAGCCGGTTTGCATCCCGATGGGGGCAACAGAATCTTTCTGCGTGGAGTTTGCATGTTCTCCCCGTGCAGCGTGGGTTCTCTATGTGTTCTCCGGCTTCCTCCCACACGGTCCAAAACATGTTGAGGTTAATTGGTGATTCTAAATTGTCCGTAGGTGTGAATGTGAGTGTGCTTGGTTGTCTGTCTCTAAGTGTAGCCCTGTGATAGACTGGTGACCTGTCCAGGTGAACCTGCCTTCACCCTAAGTCAGCTGGGATAGGCTCCAGCCCCCCGTGACCCTAGTGAGGATTAAGCGGTGTATAGATAATGGATGGATGGATAGTTTAGAAATCTATCTTTTAGTTGTCTGATTACATTTTGGGTTAATGCTAATATCACATCACTCCATGTGACAAGTTAGGCTTTAACATCTTGTAGCACTAGCTTGGGGCCAATTTCATTAAATTCCCAACATGCATGCAGCAGTTTATGAAATGTTATCATTTCTTCTAACTCATTTCGGCATGTTTTTACTAATCATAGCAACGGCCATACTTGAGAGCCATGCAAGTGCATGCAAGGTCCTTGGAGGATTTGTCTATTTGCATGCAACAGTCACTTGCAAAACGTGACGACCGTCATTTGTAATCTGCATGTAAGCAGGGCGGGCAAAACACTCTCCAACTGCACTGCAACAACACATTCTATGTCTCCTTCAATTAATATGATGATGAAATCCTAATCTGCTAGCCTTTTGCATGGCTCATTGTGGACATAATGTTGGTTTTGGAGACACGATTACCAATGATGGGCTTCCGTGGTTAATGATGCATGAAATTCAATCATCTCATGGGCAGTTAAAGCCCCCCCCCCTTTTTGTCACTTCACTCTTACTGAGTTTGTGACGTGCAAGGAGATACCTATAGAAGAATCAAACTGGATCTTCTGGATTTGATCATGCTCTTTCTAACATTTCCCTTAACTGTTTAGATGAATCCTACTAAGAATGGCTTGCTGTTAGGATTTAATGTTTGATCTAACATTGTCTTAGAATCACCTGGAGAGGCAGCCAACACAGCGCAAACGCCAGCACCGAGGCCACCAGCAGAGAGAAGGTCTTCTTCCTCCTCTGGCTCCAGCGCTGCTGACTGTTGGATGGCTGCCCCGGTATGGAATAGTGTTTTAGGGTGACAGTAATGGCACAGTAGGATATGCTGACCGACAGCAGTGGGATCATGTAGGAGGTTGTGAGAATGAAGCAGGAGTAGAGCAGCCGCAGATTGCCGCTGTTTGGCCAGAATTCTTCACACACTACCAGATCGATGCCACTGGGCCGCAGGTCCAGGTAGCGAGTGTAGAGAGATGGAGGAGCAGCCAAGGCCAGAGACAAAAGCCAGACGCCCAGAGTTACTGCACCACAACCCCACACAGAAATCCTCCTCCGTACTGGGTGAGCTGAGACAAGGAAGGAATACAGACATGGCATATATCAGTTAAAGCACCAGGGGCTTTATATTTCACATCTACATGAGAAATATTTAGAATAAAACGTTGATTAAAATGTCTTTCAAATTAATAGAATAAATGTATCTGCGTGGTTAACTATCAGCATGCATCAGTGTCTACCACATCCCTGTCTTTTGGGTTACCAGCATCATATGGCACCAACAAAACACATTTTCAAATCCTACATGTAGTACGTTTACTTTTTGAGCATACAATAAAAGTAAAAACATAATGTTAAGTCCCTTACCTACAACAACATAGCGGTCCACAGCAATGGCAGTAAGTGAGAGCACTGATGCAAACACTGTGGCACATTGCAGCAAGGGAACCAAGTGGCAAAGAGGTCTTCCAAAAGCCCAACCGCGGCTGTCGAAGGCGTAAGACACAGTCAGTGGAACGCAACTCAAACACATTAGCAGGTCGCCAGCTGCTAAATTGCCGATGAAGAAGTTGGTGGCGTTGTGGAGTTTCTTGTCAGCCAGAATACAGGCCAACAGAAATGAGTTTCCGACCCCTGCCACGACCACTACGAGGCAGTAGAGCGGCAGGAAGAGAGGTTTAAAGCGCAGAAGAAGCTCCATGCCGATAAACATGTCCAAGGGGTCACTGTGGTTGAGTCCTTGACTCTGGCTGTCTTTTAGACTTCCTCGTCCTATTTCATGGCTGATGTTTCCAGTCACACTGAAATCCTTTTCCGTGAAGATATCCATGTCTCTGCAGGCCAACCTAAACATAAGGCATAATCAATGATTAATCAACATGTACAACAGGAATCATAAGTAAGTTATCAACCTCATATATGGGATTCTTCGGAGGTCACAGAGATAATCAGTATTTTCTGGAGAGAACTGACTGAATTCTAAATTAGTTAATAACAAACTGTTTGTACTTTTTTCATTGACACCAAAAATACATGGGTGGATAAACTGGATGCTGCCTCGGACTACCTCTTCAGAAGGAGATTGTTCTATTAAAGGCACTTTACGGTGCTATTTTAAATGTATGCTTTCAATGCTGTGCAGCATGAGCAACAATAATACAATCAATTCATCCATATCGTTGTGGTTCAGCAACTGAAAGTGATCACATGCTGTAGCTGGACACCACCAGCAAGTGCCTCTGTGGAAAAGTTTCCAGAACAACTGAGTGAAAATGAAACTTAGACAAGAACAAATAATTGGCAAGAGCAAGTTAACTCCTGTGTCTCTCTCAGGAGAATCTCACATAGTTTGGGGCTTTGGGGAGATGTAAACAAGAATTCTTCTGCAGTCATTTTTTTACTTTACTACATTCTGGCAAACTGCCAGCACCAAAAGTATGCAAATGAGGTTCTCAGTTCTTGGCTACTTTTATTCACAGTATATTCAGAGATGATTCTAGACGTGTAAGTCACAGCACATGTAAAAATCTTCATATTTTGTCTGTGTGTTATAGCTGCAAAAATGAATATTAGTTTCTGTACCTGTAGCGTGCAAAATGTTTAAACTGCATGGTTAGTTTTTTCAGTGCAGTGACTGACTATGCCAACCGAGTATGTTGTTGTCATCCAAAATTAATAAACTGCTTTGACACTTGTGGATCTGATTCAGACATAAAGTTAAGTCTTTTATTTCTCAGTTCCAAATGCCACAAAAGCAGTTAATCAACTCAGACAGAAATGTCCTATTGCGAGTGATCTGGTTTGTTTTGTCCTCACCTGAAGACACTGAATCACATCAGCAGAATTTCTCAGAAACGGCTATGGGAAGAGGTGAACTATGCCTGGGGAGCTGTCCTCTGTGTGCAGAAAATTGAGTTGAGTTTGAGAATAAATGACTTCATGTGCGAAATGTTTTAAAAGCTTAGCTGACTTGTCCAGAGAGCCATCTAGGATGATGGACCTTTTTTAACACCTCAGTGCCTTGTAATATATCATGCACTAAACTTTATACACGCCGGAGCCTTTTCCTTCGAATTGCTGCCAAATCCTATTTCTAGCCTCAGCTGCAGTCGAGAGCAGCCGTTAGATACATGGTGCCTGGAGCTATAAAAATATCCCTAAGAGGGAAAGTCACTGTGTTCAACTGTACAGCTTGGTTTAATCTGTATGACTGTAAAATGTTATCTCAGTCCTTGTATTCTGTAACTGTTGTGACTACATTAGCAGATATGGGAGTGTCTGTTTCAAGGTTTCGCTATTAATTTACTGCACAGAGACATCTCAAATTCCCAGAAATGACTATGAGAACATTTGGCAGAAAATTCGAGGATGATTCAAGGAGCTTTCATTACGTAATTTAATTACCGTCAACTTATCTTTCTTTTGAAAACAAAATCATGACCTTTTCCCAAAGATTACTGTGTTTCTGGCTGCAAAAAAGATTTTCTTTCACTAAGAGATACTGTTGTTATATGTATGTGTCTTTGTTTTTATGTTCTGTGCTGGCAAGAGGTCGGAGGCATTGTGTTTTCAGGCTGTCCATCTGTCCATCCCATTCTTATTAATGTGATTTCGATTTCAGCTTAAGTGAATTGCTTTAAATCTGACACAAACGTTAATTGGACTCAAGGATGAACTAATTAGAATGACAAAGGTCAAAGGTCAAGGAAACTCATAAAAGATTGTTATTTTCTTTTTTGCCATAACTTCAGAATTAAATTCTAATTAAATTCAGAAGGTCAAAGGTAAAGACTGGACAAAAGGCAGTAATCCTAGTTTGTGACCTTCCTATTTACAATTTGGCTCATAAATGTAGTGTTGTCTGGTGGTCAACAGGCTACTGTTAGATGTCGCAGTTTTCTACCAGCACATGTTCCTCATCTGTCGAAGACAGATTGTTTCCTGATGTCTCTAAAATTTATTGTGTACAGATTTGTCCCAAATGCATGCAGAATGTAATGTATTGTAAGCCAGATTTTTAAGTACTGCAAAGAATATGTGATTGGAATTGATTAGAGTATGAAAAATATTATTTTTGTAGAAAAAAATACAAAGAAAACTTTGAAAGCAGCAGACTGCTTTGCATGACTGACCCTGCTATTATACTGATGGAGTTAATGCTGTGGAAATGGGCATTATACTTAAAGGTAGAGTGTGAGACTTAAAAATAAAATAAATAAATGAACAGACGTTGCATTTAAGCCATTCACAGACAAATTCACAGAATATGAGTTAAGTCTATGAGTGCCAACCGAAATTTTGCACTGTGCCTTAGTTTTAAATCTGGTGCCTGTGATTACATTCCCACACTGGTGCACCAGTAGCAATGCATTTTATGTTAACTAGCAATGACTGAGTTGCTGTGATGAAGTAGGCTTTAGCAACTAGAAGTATGGCGATAAAACCTAGGAGGTTTCTGAATTAGAGGAAGGATTACTCTAAAGAAAGTAGACTAAAAAAAAAAAAAAAAAAGAAAGTAGACTAGAATTTTGTAATTCCTCTTATTGCCAGAAGGGGGAGACAAAAGTTATGTACCACAGATTGAATTTACCATGGGGATTAGTTGGTTACAGGTAATGTCACGAGGCCTTTGTGAACTATCAGCCCTATTTGTTTGCACTGGCCACAGCCCCTTCTGTCATTTCCAACTTGGCCAGTAATTGAATCTGGACTTTTTTTATGTGAATTTACGGCATTCTACCTTTGTTTGTCTTGCAGTGAATGAAAGCTTAAGTGATGTGGTGTATTTATTCTGGTGACAATGTGAGTGTTTTGTGTCTGAAAACGATCACTAATGTATGTTATGATTTTGTGCACAACACTGCCACATCCTCCGCTCTACTCCGTCGCTACAGGACACCTAACTAAAACCACATACCCAGTTCCAGCTTCATTGTGTGCTGGGGACACTGTGTCCTCCAGGGGTCCATGCATGTGAGGAACGGCACAGTGTTTACACAAAAACAAAGAGTGAGCCTCCTTCTGTGTTTTCAATGAGGAAACATCCAGAGGGGCACACATGGTTTGTTTTATTCTGTTTCCATCAGTAATATTCAGCATCAGTAGCCCAAATATTTGTGCGTCGTATGCTGGTTATATAAGGTGAGTGGAACAATTTAAACGGTTTTGTTTTTTTTGTTTTTTTTTAGAATATTTGCATTTTCCCTGACCAGGGTCTCTTGATGGAAATTAACCATGTGGCAGCTGATTATAAATGTGCTTGACAGTGTATGACTTTTTTATTTTTCAGTCTTTCTAAATGTTGTTACTGGCAGCAGAGCTTACATTTGAACGGCACCATCAGGGTACAGAAACTGATTAGCATGTTTGCTGCTCTTTCTAACAAGACTATTGGAAGCAGATTTTAGACGTAAGAAAGTCCATACAAATTCAATCAAAAGACACAGATTGGTGTGAGTTGAAAATAAGCTGCAGTTCATCCTCAGGGGAACATGAATGTCCAGTTTCATGACAATCTATCTGTTAGTTCTTGATGCATTTCACACAAATTCACCAAAGTCAACCTAATTAGGATAAGAGATAATAATACCACTAGCATTGTTTTCCCCCAGTTCTTGCACAATGGCTAAAAAGTGACTTGGTAAATGGTCTGCACTTATATAGCGCTTTTTTCCCCAAAGTGCTTTACAATATGCTTCTCATTCACCCATTCACACACACATTCATTCACCAGTTGTGACAGAGCTGCCATGCAAGGTGCTTGCCTGCCAGTGGGAGCAACTTCTGGTTCAGTGTCTTGCCCAAGGACACTTTGACTGTGGAGGGGCTGGGGATCAAACCGCCAACCTTGCGATTGGAGGACAACCCGCTCTGCTACCTGAGCCACAGCAAGTGAACCAACAAGAGGACAAACTGCAGATTCTTATAGGGCAGGATAGGTTACTTCAAGAAAAAAAATGTTTTGAATCACATGCTGTGGCCTTTCCATCCACTAGGTTTCAAGCTGAAGAAACATGAGTGGGAGATTTTAGACTATCAGGTCTGACTTGGGGCTACAAGGTGGCTTGGTGATTAGCACCGTCACCTCACAGCTAGAAGATCCCTGGTTCACATCCCAGTTAAGACGCCTGGGATCTTTCTGTGTGGAGTTTGTATGTTCTCCCTGTGTAGCGTGGGTTCTCACCACTTCGTCCCACAGTCCAAAACATGTTGAGGTTAATTGGTGATTCTAAATTGTCCGTAGGTGTGAATGTGAGTGTGCTTGGTTGTCTGTCTCTAAGTGTAACCCTGTGATAGACTGGTGACCTGTCCCTGGTGTCTCCTGCCTTCACCCTAAGTCGGCTAGAATAGACTCCAGCCCCCCGTTACCCTAGTGAGGATTAAGTAGTGTACAGATAATGGATGGATGTTTGAACTTCCGTGGGTCTTTGTCAGTAGTATCACATTTTGCACAGTTTCCTCTTTCTACTATGCATACACCCAAGTAAATAAGTCATCAACATAGCCACAGGAAAGCACGATTTGTGATGTTATTTTTATGAATGGAATGGAATCACGTCTGACAAATAATTGATCTTATTTTTTCTCTAAACACAGATCCCAGCTAGACTCATTTAAACCCACTGAGAAGCTGCTGCAGAAGGCTAAGAGCCTTCGAGACTGAAGCTGCCGCTCGGGTTGTTTTCTGCACAAATACAAAGCATAATAAACAGTCAATCTTTTGATGGAGTCTGGCCTGTGAAAGGTGACAGTGTAGCTGAGATCTTCCATCTCTTCACAGCAAGAATGATTCAGATGGCTGATAAAATCTTTAGCAGATGGATCCACTCC